CCAATGTCACTATTAACAATCCAACAGGGGGCTAAAAATATAAACAAGCATTAAAATAAGACAAAACAACTAAATTTGAAGGGATATGCTATTTTTATTCACCTCCTCAGTTGTTTTTCTTTGAAGAATCTTGGTTCCCATCTAGACAACCCAGGATATATTAGGTAGTGTGATTTCTACACTTTCTATACCCTAAAGTTAAAAATGTATAAAATCTTATAACTGCACATTCATTATCCTCAATCCTTATCCAGTAAGTCAGGAACAAGTGGAAAAGTCACGGGGCCTTTCAAATATTGCCTACTGTTGATAATGGTGGTTAAAGATCAATCTGGTTTTTCAAATGAACATGATTTCTTGATAAAGACAAAGTGATGCAAGGAACCACTGAATAACCTTCTCATCCAGTCTGTAGTGATTCAAATCCCAGTTCAGACACTTCTTTTTCCGCACTTCTGCTCTCCATCTACGCGGCCCATATGGTGATAAGTGTGTCAACTGGGCTCGTGCCGGTGGAAGGCAACAGAGAAATGGGACACGCGATCCTTCTCAGTCCAGCCCTCGGTGCCTGCTGTTGAGTTTTGGGTCGTGAGCTGGCCGCTGTCCCTTCACACACATGGTGGGCTGTGGGGTGAATCAGAAATTCACACGGTCACAGAGCTTCCAGCAAACAACCCAGCTGACTAAACACTCACACAAGGTCATGGTATCAGTGCAACCGCCTGAGGGCCAGAAATGCTACGGATGGAAAGAAGGTATGACAGGGTCACAAAGCAAGAGAGATCACTTTTTCGCATATTAAAGGTATGTGAGACTTTCTGAGGGTTTCTTTAAAATAGCATATTACCACACTATGTATAGCCACAGCATGTGAATGCACAGTATGCGTGGAATGACCTTTTACATTTGCTAAAATGTACATACAATCAGAACACGCTAAGTGGGATATTGCATCCAATAATGAAATGCAATTAACCACTACTCACTCAGTGGCTTAACAGACAGCATTTTGGTTTGAAGACACCTATAGAAACTAGCTTTCAAGACATCTGTCAGGTATGAATAATTTTCAAGGTTTTTGACATGTTTGACGAATAAACCAGACGCAATGTCCATTTGCTTCTTGACTCATAATTTGATTGGATTGCCAGAAACATTTGACTTAAAGTTAAACTAAAATGCAACTGGATGAGAATATGCCTACACTAGAAATTCACTGCAAACATAATGTGAAGAGAATAATAAGACACAATAAAATCGCAGATGTATAGGCTAATTATTATTATGACCACAGCTATCTTTCTGAGAGTGAGTCTGTGTGTGTGCTTGTAGGGGTGACAATGTGTCAAGCTGAATGCATAATTCAGGTGGACCGTCTTCAGTGATGATGGGGAAGCAACAGGCAGGTCAACACAGACTGAACCATGACAGGAAAGTAATACAGCAGCAAAGCATATTTTTCCAGTCTGACAGGCCAAAGTTTGTTTGTGTGTGCAGAGTTACATGTCAGGAATATTTGATGTGCCTGACATGCAGTGTTTAAGGTGAAGGTGGACTAGATGACTGGAAGTGGGAGAATAAATTGCTTGAGTTTGGACATTTGTAAGACTTTGGAGGAAAAACAAACTATTAAATGTATGATTTTCTGAGATGCGGATCGCAAATGTCACTATTAGCAATCCAAACACGGTTATTGTGACACCAGTGATGCATTAAGAAATTAATTTTAACCTAAAGTGTGCTCTTTTCCGTAAAAATGCTTGTTAAATTTGAAAAAAGAAAACAACAACAACAACAACATAGTTTCAACTGTTGGTAGATTTGATAGATACGGCTTCAATTGTTTAAAACTACTATATGTATTTTATTGGAAACATACAAAACTTATTTAATGCGCAAGTACATCAAACCATTTTTTTTTTTGCCTTGCCTTGCCTTTACATTGTAGTGCTGTCTGAAAGGATTTCTATGGAAGCCCGTTTCCGCCACTGAATAAAAAATAAAAAAGGTAATTGTGACTTTTTATCTCACTTATTTTTCTCAGAATTGTGAGATATAAACTCACAATTGCGAGTTACAAAGTCATAATTGTGAGATATAAACTTGCAATTCTGAGAAATAAAGTCAGAATTGCATGATATAGGGGGAGATCTGGGATGATAGTAACACTTTTTGTTTGAGGGTCAGTAACTTAGCGGTTGTTCATGCTAGACCTCTCAAACTTTGATACATTGTAGCCACATTTGCCTACTATAAATAAAACTCACTTGAACTTGTATTACACAATCACAGATTATGTGAGTTAATGTCAAATACAAAGAGTTCCGTTGTTACAACCTACCCCACTACTGGGGTGAGTTGTAACACTAGCTGGGGATAGATGTAACAATAAGAGGTAATTTGGTGAAACAATATCCACACTTTCCAGATTATGCAAGAACTTTATTGAAGAACAAAAATGAACAATTTAAACTAACAAAAATATTCTGGAACTTTAAACTCAAGACTATAACAAATTGCTGTGTGTGTGTTGTATTTCGTTAGAACTTTCATCTTAACACTATATCAAATTTGTGTGTGTGTGTGTGTGTGTGTAGTGTATTTCCTTTGGAACTTTAAACTCAAAACTATAACAAATTTCTGTGTGTGTCAGTGTGTGTGTGTCTGTATAGTATATTCGTTTTGGAACTTTAAACTTAACACTAACATTTCTGTGTGTGTCAGTGTGGGTGTGTGTGTGTTGGAACTTTAAACTTAACAATATAACAGATTTCTGTGTGTCAGTGTGTGTGTGTGTGTATGTGTGTAGTGTATTTCTTATGGAACTTTAAACTTAAAAATATAAAAAATTTCTGTGTGTCAGTGTGTGTGTGTGTGTGTGTGTGTGTAGTGCGTTTCTTATGGGACTTTAAACTTAACACTATAACAAATTGCTGTGTGTCAGTGTATGACAATTTTTAATGAACTGTTACAACTATCCCCACCCCAAGCAGCCATTATATAGCTAACTCTTTTATCATGTGGGTTTAAAGTTAGCATTAATGTCTAGCATCAAATTGAACTAGAGAAATGGCTACTTAAGATTATGTAAGTCAAAATGTTTTTATCTACATTACAATGCATGCTAGGCAAAAAATAATCTTGATTTAAAAAATTACTTTCTTACCTGAAAATCACTTTTTTGGTGATAAAATTCACAATCTTGCTCACAGACACATGCCACTTCTCCTGTTAGCTCAAAATGGAGATGGGAGTGTATGATATGGATGACACCACCATAGGTTGTTTCTGATTGGTCAAACTGACAGTGTAACAACTAACCCCATGTTACAACACTCCCCAGTCTCCCCTAAACTCGCAATTACGAGACATAGCCGCAATTTTGAGAAATAAAGTCAGAATTGCGAGATATAAACTTTTTTTCCTCAGAATTGCGAGTTTATTTCTCACAATTCTGACTTTATAACAAACAATTGCGAGTTATTAAGTCAGAATTTAGATAAAATCGCACAATTCTACGAAAATGAGTCAGAATTGCGAGATACAAACTCGCCTTTGCGAGAAAAAAAGTTTATATCTTGCAATTCTGACTTTAGAACTCGCAATTGCGTATTTATATCTCACAATTCTGAGAAAAAAAGGTCAGAATTGTGAGATAAAAAGTCGCAATAACCTTTTTTTTTATTTTGTATTCAGTGGCAGAAACAGGCTTTCATAGATTTCCCTGGAAATCGCATACTTACGTCATCTGCGCATCATCCGTGTGTGTCGACTAGCGTTGAAGTCACGTAATTACCTAAACAAGTTCCTTGTACCAAGGCAAGGCATGGCAAGGCAAATTTTATGTAAAGAGCACAAGTTTAACATAACTGTAGTTGATCCAAAGTGCCGTACAATAAAAAATAAATCTAAATTTAAAAGAGAAAAGGAAAAGAGAAAAAAGTAACTTGTAGTTTTATGCTTCAACCACTAGACATTGCATTTTAGCTTTAACATAAATATTATTTAATCTAGGTAAATGTTCATTTAAAATATATCAACTATTGTTCATTCATGTTCATTCATAATACATCAACCTGTAACGTTAAAGCATATTAATGTAAAGAAATTAACATTAATCTAGATCAGTAGGCTAGCTACATTCTATAACATATTCACTGTTAGTTCATGATACCAAATGGATTATTTAATGTTAATAAGTTGAACTTTATTGTACATTTTGCTTTCAGAAAGCATCCCTGTATTAATCCATTACATAATAAAACTGTTTGTATGCACACATAGATGTGAATATCCATGAGTGTGTTATGTGAATGTATAAACAGTCTTGACTGCAGTGAGGTGCTATCTTACAAACAAACCCCTAGAAAATGCAATTATTTTCCCACCTCTTTGTTTTATTAATATGCAGCGTGGTATACCGCACAGTTTCTGTTCTTTTTCTGAAATAACAAGAATTTTCTGTTCTCTCTCTCCTCTTCTGATAAGAGCAGTGTTGGGCTAAATGATGACACATTGATTCAAGATTCTAGGCTGTCAAACCTTCCCTGACAGACAAACCTAAACATATACAACAAACACTGACTGTAATTTTGCCATTCTAGTTGACCTCCAGTCCCTCAAATCCTGTTTCTATTTCCAAGCCTGTAATCACATTCATAAATATACCAGGAATACATGCTGTATGACATAAGAAATCAATTTAAATGCATTTGCTAAGTTTCAAATCACACTGACCTGTATTTAAAACGAGACACCAAAACAAAAAGCTGGTTAGCGGTTTAGCTATGCAGCGAGATGTGCTTATGACTCAAGTGTTTTCTGTTTTTTTTTTCCATACTTAATGATGTGGTGTACCCCTCTGATAGCATTCAAAGTTTAGTAGGAGAGAGAAACTCCACGTCCCGTGAGTCATGAAAACCGGCGTCGTCAGCAGTCTGCTCCATCTCCCTGTATATTCATTATCCCTCTTTTCCTGGCAATTAGGACTGATCTCTCACCTCTTCCTGCATCCACACCATCATTTCCTGTGGTGGCGGGAGAACTCTCACACCTTCCTCATGTGTCAGGGCTTTTGTGTGCGGCTGCAGTATGAGAGAAAGGAGCTGATGTGATGTTTACAAATGTAGCCATACGACTGTCTATCTATCTATCTATCTATCTGTCTATCTATCTATCTGTCTGTCTGTCTGTCTGTCTATCTATCAACATATGAGTATCTATCATCCATTTATCAGGCAGTTAGTTTGTCAGTCTGTCTATCACTTCATCTATCAATCAGTCTCTCTCACATATTCTTAGGGATACTCTGTTCACATGGCACATGCATATTGATTAACATATCTGTTGGGCGGTGTGTCATGGATGCCTGTAACCTTGGCAGAGCTGAGCGGGACTCCCACGGACCGCACAGCACATGTGCTGTAGCTAAAAGTGCACCAGTCATTGAAGTTCACAGAATGACTCATATTTTTCCCTCAGAAAGGAGGGATTGTATAATTTGGCAAGGAGAGTGAAGGCAAGAGCCCATCTGTTGAAAAGGTCGAGATCTAAGCTTCAGACTTGGATGTTAGGAAGCTAGAGTACAAAGCGTTCATTACGAGGCAGAAGTTTGTGGGATGGTCAACGAAAGGTCACCAAAAGGTCAAAAACCCATCAAGCTGATAACTTATCTGCCAGGACTGGAAGTCATATTCACAGCACAGGCTGCAAAACATGATTTCAAGTTCAAAACAACATAATTTTCGTTTTCTTGCCTAATTATTTGTGGTAATTAAGCCAAAAAATATGATTAACCATGTAGCAACCACCCAGAACACACCACTCCCATTTTCTCCAGAAAATGTAAATATGTTTATACTGTAAGTAGGCTACAAATCATCAAACATTATGGTCCTATAGGAAATGCTTGTTCCAATAATATTCATGCATTGCCAAAATCTCTAACAATTCCTCAAAAGCTCTGTAATATATTGAACATGAAAGTGAGAACATTCCTGGAGTCTGAATCCAAACCTTTTGCCTCTAGAGCCCAAACCTAATTCTTCTTTATGTATAATGAGGACCTGCGAGACTAACATTTAAGAGTAAATAACATTAGCTTGGTTCCCAATCATTTTAGTATGACGTGATAAAAACAAACTCGAGACTATGCTCAACTCAGTGTTCATAATACACTGGTTCAGTCTGTGCTACATTTAAACTGACAGTAATAAATGAGATTTTTTTTTGTGAGAGAGAATTAATTGAGTTAAACCAGTGGAAGAATGGGATCTACCTAACTTGTCATGTTTATTGCCTTATAAAGCTATACAACCCTTTTTCTTTATCTTTCATATTTTATAGACAGAGTATTATTTTTTTAGAAATGAATTTTAAGTCAAAAATCAAAGCCAAAAGAGCCAATCCCAAGTCTCCATAAGAAGAATAGCGAGAATAGGGCAAGACCAAATAAATAACAAATAAAGTGCTTTTAAATTCAGATGGTAAACTCAACAAGACTCCAAGGTGTTCAAAACAAGCGAAAGGACAGACTGGACTCGGAAAGAAAATCAACATCAGACATCCCTACTGTGTTCACAGTTCTTAGTGCCCTGGTGTGTGACCAGTTTCTAAATGTCTTCATCAGCACTTTAAAACAACGCGTTTGTTGCTGCACCTCCCGGAGACAAACAATATTGTGTGTCAGTTGACCAGGTTCCTCTGGGAGGACATGCACAGGCTGCATGACTACTCTTCTCACGCAATGTTGTTTTGTCTTTCTTTTCATGCATGTCTCATGCTTGCTTGTAATCCAGTGTCTGTTTTCCAATTAAGCACTGTAAATGACCATATTTAAGACAATCTAAGACAATATTTACCAGTCCTCATTTATCCATTCTCATGTTTTTCCAAACCATAGTTGTTCAATGGAACAAAGATAAAATTCTCAAGAAAATCTAACCTGCTTTTTCAGTATAATGCAATATATAGCAACCAATTAAATGTATTACGATGTACAATGTGATTAAACTGCAGCCTCACTTTTCTGCCTGCTGGAGATAAACCAAAATGGAGAAAAGAAGACACCACCGGGGAGGTAGAACAATTTATATTTATCAGTGTCCATCCTATACCGGATCCCCCGAGGGAGAGGGAGGGAGGTAAGGGGGAACATTATCCTCTTTACTCCGGATTAAAGTGGCCTTGTGATTGACCCTACTACTTTCTGGATTGTGTGATCCTGATGTGACAGGTGCTTTTGTCAGATGACACTGGATAGGGACATTAACCCCCTTTGCCCTACACAGAGAGATGTACAGGATACAGGGACATTAACACTCTCACCTTACACAGACACAGAGATTTACGGCTTTTTACTGTAGCCACTTGGCTCAGCGAGGATCGGTGTTGCTGTCATGGCAGATTTATTGGGTACAGCCAGAGAAATACATACCCTAAAAACAAAACACAAAACAATATATTAATTATGGTACACTATAAATTAATTTTAAACACTAATTTACCAGTACTGATTAGATATTTATAGGCTAATATAATAAATATTTCTTTCCTTGTGTCTTTTAAACATTGGAATGCATCACATGGATGATTTATACTATCATGATCAAACACTCAAAAATATAGGCTATCACTAAATCCCGCCACACTCATGATAGCTAATACAACTTAAGTGGATATTTTTTCTTAAGACTTCATCTTGGAAAACGAAAGCCCTAAAACAGGGAAAGATCGCTCCTCCTATCTTTCTGTCGTCAGAGGGCAAGTGAGAGCAGACAGGTAGTTTCATTTGCTCAGAAAGAAAACTGGACAGGCTTTGAGACGAACGGACACACATTAGATTTCCTTGTAGCTGCAGGTCTGTCTGAGGAAGAGAAAGCAGGATGGAAACATTTTTAGAATGAAAGTGAGACGGGAGAGGGTCTCACTCCGTCTTTCATTTGGTCCTATAGCCTCTAGTGATGCTGATTCAATTCTGCTAATCGGTTATTTTGAACTGTCCATTTTAATGAACGGTTCAAAAGAAACATATCAGAGATTCTTTTAATACGTCACAGCGTAATTGCGTCATCACGCGCTCACTGACATCCCCTCGTGGCATAATACCTGCTAATAAAACGTTCCAAGAAAGCCACATTTATGTGTATGCTTTTCTATTAAGTTTGATTAATTATGGTGTATATTGCAGTTCACTGTCTCTCAGGTCAGTTTCATTATGATTTAGCTAATAAAAAGTACTAAAATCCATTTGAACAGTTTTTTTTTTGCAGTTTCTAGGCTATTTAATAACATTAAAGGGGTCATATGATGCTGCTAAAAAGAACATTATTTTGTGTATTTGGTGTAATGAAATGTGTTTATGCTGTTTAAAGTAGAAAAATTGAAATCGCATCATATGACCCCTTTAAAACCAACTCTTATTCACATTGATCAAACTGTCACACCTTTAAGTCACAAACAGTACGCTTTATTTTTAAACATGCATGCGACTATTAAAATTAATTACTTTTCGCTCTTGCTGTCACTTTTCAGTTTTCTTTACGAATCCAAAATAGACGGTTCTCGGTTCAAGAACCGCTCGAGAGCGTGAGCCATTCAACTGATTCATTGAAAAGATCCGAATCACAGGAATGGCTCTCTCACGAATCGGGCATCGCAAATACCCTCCTCCACACCTCCCGCCCGTAGTGCTCCAGCTTTCCGACTCCTGAAGAGACAAGGGCGCCTGTCATCCGTTAACCACCCGAGCATCTCGAGCATCCAAACGCAGTTTCTAACCAGAACAGTCATTTGACTCATCGTTTAAGTGGTATACAATACCAGAAGGCTTCTTTCCCGTCACATCGACTGATATTGTAAAACTTTAAATGCTCTCCTTATGGCTGTCTGAAAGCTTCTTGCGGCAATTATAACTGCTAACTGAAGCTTATATGAAACATTTTTGTCTGACATCTCTCGGAGTCATCTCTCTTTAAAAAAATAATCGGGCATTGTGAGACTTCCATGTCGGCGATGTTGTTTTCCATCTTAATCGATACTTGAGACCGGGGTCAAGAGTTAAGAATTTGTAGCCTATTTGGTGTGGATCGTTTGAAGATCATTAAAACAGATCAAACTTTTATCACATATGACACGGATTATTAAAAGATGAGACGCTTATTTTGACTATCACAGTGGGATAAAGTACAGCGCATCATCACCGCACCTTCAGGATGTTCCGGCGAGGTAAGATCAACATTTTAGATTATATAATTGCGTTATTGGTGCAGTTCAAGCAAATGCATGATGCTGAAAGTAGGTTACATTTCTATTCATTGCGCGCGTGACTCTTCCACGCGCATCCGAGCTTATATATCAGAAACTCTTTATGAGGTTTTTAACCAGGTTGGTTTAAGGTTTGTCTGGCTCTTTAAGCATTTGACTGTGCCCCGATGAAATATTAATACACAGCACGTAATATTCTTAAAAATAGACAAGCGATGCCGCACTGCAGCTGACAACTACTAGAGCTTATTTACTGCACGCGCTTAACTAGTACTAGTAAAAAACACAGTGATTTTTTTTTAAGACTAGAGAGGCGGTGCATGGCGACAGGCGCCCATGGGACCAGTGTTTGTGAACTCTTATATGCTGCCTCAGACTCACACACACACACACCAAGAAATTATAGGTGCGTGAATTTTGCTGTCTATGTCAGTACTCAATACATGGCATATAAGCTGTGGACACAAAATTGAAATATATTACTCTACTGTCTAGATATCAAAACAAATCATGCACGGAATAATTCAAGAAACATCCAGGTCATGAAATTTGATGGATCAACATAAGTGTGCCCACAGAGAGGTGCTGTTTTACCTTTGTTAGGAAGTCATGCATGTCACAGTGTTTTTTGGGACTTTTTTTCCCCGTGCGTTTTACTTTACGTATGGCTTCTTTCTCTTTCTTGTTGTAGCTAATTATGTTGGATGATAATATTTGAGCAATTTAGAATTTTCTTGACGTGCTCACACACATACAGACTTCTGAACCTCTCAGAGACTAAATGGTTTCCATACTAAAACAATATTTACTATATATTACACCTAAATTTAACCCTCACTTAAACCTGTTGCATTATTAGATCTAAAGCAAAAACAGTTTTGCTGTTTGTGATTGTGTGGACCAGTTCAAATGCCTTCACATGTTGGTTTTTGACGTGTTTTTCTATATTTTAAAACCTGTACCTTAACACACACAGAGTTTTTTAGCTACATAAGCGAAGACCTCTCACAGATTCAATGGTTTTCATATTAAGATAATGATATTAACAATACCCTAAACTTAACCCTCAAAGAAACTTGTTGACATTAGTAGATGGAAACCAAAACATGATTTTGCTTGTTTCAAATATTGAACCACTTTATATGTCCTCACAAGTACATTTTTTACATATTTGTGGGCACAACCCCGACTTCTTACCCACACACATCAATTTTAATTAAAATATCTTCCAATATCAGCAAGAACTACTTTAATTTGCATATTTTGTCAGCAGCTTTGGCGTCTGCCACTCTGCTATTATGTACCTGCCTAAAAAAGAAAAAGAAAAACACTCCTCCATCCGGTTATTTTTTCCTCCGAGGAGTGACAGTGGAGTCATAACACTTTTACTAATGCTCAGCCTGCAGCTTCAAACCAGCCTGCTCTGGGAACTGCTTCCTCATTTTCTTCTCATTACAAAAGAATGTGTGGGTTTCAGCTGAGGCAAAAGATGGGATGGAGAAAGAGAGAGGGGGGATTTGTTTGTGTGCTTAAAGCATTCTGCATCAGCTGTGGCACTGAGCCCCTCCTCAATTCAAACACACAATACAGACAATAAAATAAGGAGTTATGACTGTTTATTGTTGCCGCTCCTAGCAGTAGGGGTCTGTGCTTACAGCCCCGGGTACAGAAAAAGGTCTTGAATGCATAATAATGGTGAGCAGCACAGATGTGTTTACAGGAGAGCTGTATGTCTATGTCTGATAGCGTGTGGTTTTACTGCTTACGGGGTTTTGACAGGTGACACACTATAGATCAACAAAATTCCAATTAAAACTGCATTAAGTGGGTGTCTAAGTGGGTCATTTAGTCTTAGATGCCATATGGGAATTTAGCATATTATATTTTTTTATATTTATGCAATTGGCTGATACTTGTTATCGGTTTGTACATCCCTTGGGAATGAAACCCATGATCTCGATGTGTGAGATGGAGTGAGATGCCAGACAGACAGATAGATAAATTCATAGATGGGTAGACAGACAGTAGGCAGACAAAGAGACAGATAGATAGCCATTTAGACAGATACATTAGATAGACAGACAGTTATATAGGCAGTGAAATACGTACATATATGATAGATAGATAGATAGACAGACATACAGAAGGACAGGTAGTCATATATGTACATAGATAGACAGATTGAATGACAGGTGGATAGGTAGTCATATAATAGATAGGAAGATAGATAGATTTAAAGGGAAAGTTAACCCAAAAATAAAAATAATATAATCATTTACGCACCCTCTTCTTCTAAACCTGTATACATTTCTTTATTCTGTTGAACACAAAAGAAGACAGTTGGTGGAAGGTAACACTTTAGGGAACATATATTCACCATTAACTAAGAGTTTTCCCTCTCAATATGTTAATAATGGTAATAAGCAACTAGTTAATAATGAGAATTGTTATTTAATAAAGTGTTACCGATGGTAGTCTAGTCATAGACTTATAGTATTTTTCCATACTATGGAAGTCAATGGCTACCGTCAACTACACTGAACAAAATTATAAACGCAACACTTTTGTTTTTGCCCCCATTTTTCATGAGCTGAACTCAAATGAAAAATGGGGGCAAAAACAAAAGTGTTGCTTTTATAATTCTGTTCAGTGTATTTGGTTCCCGACATTCTTCAGAATCATTTCTTTTGTGCTCAATGGAAGAAAGAAACTCATGCAAGTTTGGAACAACTTGAGGGTGAGTAAATGATGACAGAATTTTACTTTTTTGGTGAACAATCCCTTTAAAGGATCAGGTCAGGTTGAAGTAGCACTTTTAGGTAATAACTGCACATTTTACAGTGTGCTCAAGGTACTCATAATGGCACCATGTATGAAAAGCACATGTTTTTATAAGTGACAAATGAGCAAATTCATGCTTTCTTTCCCTAATGCTGCTTGCGAGTTCATCGAATCCCCACAGAACCATAAGATAGAGATGTTAAATGTAGACGAGATGATTCTGCAGGCCAAAAGGCTCCTGTTTTTTTGGCAGGTGAGACTGTGGATCTGAAGCAGCAGGAGGCCCACTAGCTGCTTGCTGTAATGAACCTGTTTCTTTTTCTGCCCACTTCTGCGATACCCTCTCTTAACCCCAGATTGCTCCAGGTTCTCTACAATATGGCACCTCTTTTTTCATTATCACTCCACCTGCTTGAGATCCTCAGCCTCGGAGTAGAAGCAGCTCAGATTAAATAAAGGTTTGAAACACAAAAAATTCTATTGGCTGAAGCGCAGGCAGGAAACAAAACGGCAGTCATTTTCTTTAAATCTACCAGTTGCGGCTGCTTCCGGCGAGCGGATTCTCCGCAGCTTTCTGGCCTCCGCTCTGTTGCTATGTGACTCATCAGGATTATAGTGCGTTCTCAGTGATTTGCTGGTCTGCGGCAGATTTAATGCGCGAGGTAAACTGTCCGCAAAACGCTCGCCCAAGAGGAACAATGTGCTGTTGCTGTCAGATCACATTGCGTTTGATGCAAAACCAACTCCACTAAATCAAAAGAAAAAAACACTGTAACTGTTTTCTCAAGCAAAGCAAATTTTAAAAGTCCACTGAAAACATATCTTCTTGCATTTTTGGTCATAGACAACGTATGTTGAAGATATACGTTATTGTCAACATTATTTGCAGGCCAAAAGGCTCCTGTTTTTTTGGCAGGTGAGACTGTGGATCTGAAGCAGCAGGAGGCCCACTAGCTGCTTGCTGTAATGAACCTGTTTCTTTTTCTGCCCACTTCTGCGATACCCTCTCTTAACCCCAGATTGCTCCAGGTTCTCTACAATATGGCACCTCTTTTTTCATTATCACTCCACCTGCTTGAGATCCTCAGCCTCGGAGTAGAAGCAGCTCAGATTAAATAAAGGTTTGAAACACAAAAAATTCTATTGGCTGAAGCGCAGGCAGGAAACAGGAGGCTACTTACCATACAAAGTGCTACTGGCTGGGCAGTGAGCCGGTGCTGCTCGTTGGCCCATTTGAATAGATCGTTCAGTTGAAAGCTCGTTTAGTCAGAGATTTCACACACAGCCAGAAAGAAATAGAGCCACGTACACTCCCCCCCACCTGTGGCAAAGAAAATCTCTCGTCCCCATCAGATTGCGAACCTACTCTTAAAGATGATTCAGTGCAAGTGTGCAAGTCCTTGCTCGATAATTTCTAAGCATTTCCATGTTTGTAGGTGTCTGTGGCCGGAGGCATACATGCTGCATGTGGCCAACCATTAGCATGTGGAAAGCACACTTTGTTCACTAAAATAGAGCTGTAAGTGACTGTTCAATTTGGAAGTGATTAAGAGGCTCTAAATGATTATTCAACAGGTCTTAGGTACAGCCAGTGACCTTCATATGTGGATTGGATTGGAACGGGAGCCTTACGGAAACTCAGTGATCGTAATTAAAGACGTACTGATATAAATTGATATGTTAGCAT